TTCTTCACCCAAAGAGTGATTAACACTTGGAATTCACTGCCACAGGAAGTGGTGGCGGCTACAAGCATGGACGGCTTCAAAAGGGAATTAGATAAGCATATGGAGCAGAGGTCCATCAGTGGCTATTAGCCACAAGGTATAGATAGGGGCTCTGGGGCAAGTGATGCTCTGTCTTCTTGGTGCTTGGGGGGGTCAACAGTGGGAGGGCTTCTAATGTCCTGGCCCCACTGGTGGACCTCCTGATGGCACCTGGTATTTCTGGCCACTGTGTGATACAGAGTGTTAGACTGGATGGGCCTTTGGCCTGATCCAACATTGGCATCTCTTATGTTCTTATGTTCTTATTACCATAATTAAGTTAATAACAAAGTACCTACCTTGTGGCTAATAGCCACTGATAGTTTAAGTTTAAAAAAATTGGCTCTCCAAAGAAATGTCAGTCGTAGTACTGTTGATATTTGGGTCTGTTGACTAATGTGATTGGATTCATACCCTGTTCTTCACTACCAAGAGGAATCTCAGATTGCCTGAAAAGTTTCTCATGGACCTGAAACCCTCAGAAGCTGACACTGTGCTGGTTACACTGACATCTAAGTTACCACTCAACTAAGCCCGGGGTTACAGGTTGTTGTGTTGTGCAGTTAAAAAGAAGAAGTTAAAAAAAGAAGTTAAAAAAAGAAGAGATTGGATTCAGCTGACATTTAACTTACCACTCTGGCCAGGCGGAGGTTAGTATGGGCTAGCCCAGAGTAACCCCCTGGCAGGGGTTACTCTGGCCGGGGGGGGGGATTAATCTGGCCTGTTACAGATGGCCAGATTAACCCGGGGTTACTCTAGGCTAGGCCAGAATAACCCCTCAGAACCCCTCCGGGGTTATTCTAGGCTAGGCCAGAGTAACCCCGGGGTTACTCTGGCCGGGGGGTTAATCCGGCCTGTTACACCGGACTAGAACAGATGCCTTTTTCTTTTTTTGGTAAAGACCCAGTAGGCTAGTTCATATTTTTTCTTCTTCTGGGTGAACATTTATTGAAAGATTTTTATCCTGCCTCTCAGTGAAAGGCTTCCACGGCTGCTAACAACAAAACAAGTTACCATTATCTTTACAAGAATAAAACAAAGGAAAGCAGTGAAAACATCAGTTAATAGCAGCCGCCAATATATAGCATAGACCAACAAGGTATCAGCTAGCTGGGGGGGGGGGATCATTCTAGAGCAGGCAGGAGGGAAGAGAGCAAGCTGGTTTGTTGTAGAGAGCCAGCGTGGTGTAGTGGTTTGAGTAGGATCTAGGAGACTCAAGTTTGAATCCCCCCCCCGCCGCCGCCGCCGCCATGGATGCTTGCTAGATGAACTCAGGCCAGTCACTTTTTCTCAGCCTAATCTACCTCACAGGATTGTGCTGAGACACTAAAATAGAGGGGAGGAGAACAGTTTTGTAAACTGCTTTGGGTCCCCAGTGAAGAGGAAAGCCGTGTATGAATATCTCAATAATAAATGAAGAGCTCCCCTTGCAGAAACTTACAGTCTTCAGGACGTTCCTGTCAGCTGAGGCTGGGCTGCCAGGTTTTGCCTCCTGCCCCAACAGTATTCCTCAGTGCAATGGCTAGTGAAAAACAGCCTTGTGTTTATATGGGATAAAGTAGAACACTTCATTTTGGCAGCACCCACTGGGGATGGGTCCCTAACATCTGAATAATCTTCTCTACTGCAGCCATTTTTCATAATTATCAGCACACTGCAAACTCTTTGTTTCAGGTAACCAACCTCCTGTAATTCAAAATCTTCAAGAAAGGCTGCAAACATTTTATGGGGAGAACTTTGTGTATCACTTCACGGCCACAGACCCAGAAGGCTCTGCCATTGCCTTTTCGCTAAATTCTGGGCCCTTAGGTGCCAGTCTTTCTCCTGCTGGACTCTTGATATGGAAAGCAGTGTCAAAAAACACTCAGCAGTTTACTTTTACGGTGACAGATGACTGCAGTGCTGAAGCCAGAGGAACAATAGAGGTAGTAACCGTTGTTCGGTTAGATACCCGACCCTACAGTGCTGCAGTAAGTCTATTACTAATGTAATTTCTAGTTCCTGAATAATAACCTAGTGTGTTTACTGGATGTGTTTTGTAGGTCACCGTGAAACCATGTGACTGTTTAAATGGTGGGTCTTGTGTGACAAACGTCAGTTTCCCCCCTGGAAGTGGGAAATACATCTGTGTCTGCTTGCCAGGGTTTGAGGGTGACCTTTGTCAAGTGAACATTGATGACTGCACATCCAATCCGTGTGGCCTCACCAGATGTTTCGATGGAATAAATAGCTTCCGCTGTGAATGTACACCTGGACTGCAGGGTGAATTATTCTGTGTTCTGAATTTGTACAGCCGTTGTTCAATTACATGCATGATTTCAGGATTCAGTTACTGTGATATTTACCTAGGTAAAACAAATATTTTCTTGAAATTGCTTGCTAGTCTTCATATATGCCTGCCTGAGCCTTTTAAAACCACTGAGGAAGGGGGCAGAATTTTATGTGCAGAGTTTCTAGCTTAGAGGAAACCAGCATTCAAAAATGTAAACAATTAATTGTACATAGCGTGAAACACAGATTTGGGGGGGGGGATGTGCCAGGGGTTGTCATCAGCCAAAAAGCTAGGGCTCCCTCTCTGTAAGATGTCTGCAAATCCTTAATATAAGCTACTTTAAGATACCTTAATGTGGCGGGGGGGTTTTCCTTGAGCTTTTTATATGAGGTTAAATCAAACATTTGAAATGGCTCCATTTCCCTCCATTCCCTGAATGTCTTTATTTCTGTTTAGGCAGACATTGCCAAGGAGATCTTGACGAGTGCAAATCAAGGCCCTGCTTCCCTGGTGTAGTTTGCTTCAATACCGTTGATTCCTATTATTGTGGCCCATGCCCAGAAGGCCTTCATGGAGATGGGAAAGTATGCTATGGTAAAAATGGGAAATCCCCCCCCCCGGTCTATAAGACTGCAGTCATCTTACATTTAATTGAGAGTTTTGTTTGTTGCACTAAGCATACTCATACATGCCTAACATCGCTCTTTGGAAGACAGCCACTGACATACCACTGTTATGTCCAGCTGCTATTTTCCCAAAGCAGCAGTACAAAACAAGAGGAGAAGGTGTTGCATGGAAGAGGTGCTAACTGCTATTGGACTTGGGAGTTACTGTTGCTGTTTTTGTGTAATTGTTGTTCCATCTGCAGTTATTCAATGTCATAAGTTACCACATGAAATGGCGTTGTCTGTCATGGGTTGCGCAGAGCGACCAGCAGCTAGCAGACAAAACAACTGTGTTCATTAAAAAGGGCTGAGAGGCACAAAAACTCCCCATCCCACGTGTGATGCAAAGTCCTTCCGTTGTTCACCAACAAACATGAGTATTTTCTAATGTGTAGGTGGAACCGCCTCCTCCACCCCAGCTGGTTTCAGCAACTTTAGTCCAGATAGTGTCAGACAATTGCCATGTTAGTCTTTTACTAGGTCTGACGAAGGGAACTTTGACTCTCAAAAGCTTCTACCCCAAATGTCTTGTTGGATTGACACTACTGCTGCTGTTTGGAATTATATCTGAAAGAACTGTAGCAGCTAGAAGAATGCCACTGTGTGGCATTTCTGGAAAAGGGGGGGCGGCTTTTGTTTTAGCTGTCTGTGGTCCTTAACAGTGGATTAACAGTATCTCCTTCTGTGGTCCTTAACAGTGGATTAACAGTATCTCCTTCTAGTTCGGTTAGTGGCATATCTCCGTTTCTTCTATTGAAATAATAGAGGAAAGGCGGAGAAGCCTGGCTAGTACCCCTTAAAGGAGTCTTACAGTACAATCCTGCGCTCTGTGTGTGTGTGCATACCTAGGAATAATGGTTGACTTCTGGTGACCCCTAGTAGCAGGCACGTAGCCAGAAAAGTTTTATTTTCATTTTTTAAAAATTTATTTTAATTTTTTTAAGTACAGTGATGGTCAGTCCATCATCATTTATTTGTTATTTATACTGAATTAGTTATTTACCAATGTTCTACTTGATACTCCAAGTGGATTACATGGTATAGAACACTGTAATCAAACAGCATGAGAGATCTAATAAAAATGCAGTAGGACTAGGCATACAAAATTACAAAAATGAAAAAGGTATCAAACATGCTATGTCAATAATGCAGAAAATGGAATTATAAAAAATGAAAACAATGCTGTAAGACATGATAGAACATACAACAAATCAATAATATCTAATGTACACTGTGGCATAGACTCCAGTTCTGTTCTGTATAAGCTTTATAAAAATGCCGTCCCAAGCCACTGTTTTACATAATTTGCAGAATTAAAGAAGTGTGAGAGCTTTCTTACTGAAACCCGAAACTGTAAATTCAATCTTCTTTTCTCTGTAAATCACTGACTCAAGGCTTCTAACGTTGCCACCCAACACCCCTGTAAGCTTTTAAAATCAGGACTCTTCAGCCCTGCTATAACCACTAATGCTCTTGTAGCTAATCGTGTAGAGAATTCACACTTGGAAGATTTATGATAAGATTCACACTTTTTACTTCAACTCCTTACTTTTTTACAAAGAAAATTTACACCTGGAAGAGTGTGACAGACTTCACACCAACCTGTAATACTGATTGGAAGGGCATGACAAATGATTGATGGGGCACCGCCCCTTTTTGCACCACCATGGCTACGGGCTTGCCTAGTAGGGCTTGGACATTTCAGAGAGGTGGTTGGCTATTGCCTGTCTCAGTGTCCCAGCCCTGGAGGTCTCCCATCCAAGTACTTGCCAAGGTCTGCCCTCCTTAGCTTCTGAGATCTGATGAAATTGGGCTTGCCTGGGCTATCCAGGTTGGGGCGATCCTGTGCTGATTTGCAGTCTTCTATACAAATTCACTCTGGTTAAGATTGTACTGTTAGAGTTGAAAGGCGGGGAAGGTCCAAAGAGTGGGAGAGAAAATGCTGCAGCAAAGACCATCATACAAGGTTGTCGGGTGATGAAATAATGTGAGAGGGACTAGAAAGTATGTAAGTGAAGAAGCTGCTGGGCAGTGAGGATGTCTGGAAATCCTACTGTCCAGCCTCCTGCCTCCAAATCTCAGAGCTGCTCATGAAGAATCTTACCAAAGGATGAAATTGATGTTTTCCAAGAAAGTTAAATACTGGAAAATTGTTCTTTGTTTGTAATGGTTTCCCCATAACAACATATTCCCATTACAGGCTCCGATAACAATGTTTCTATTTCCTTTGCACACTTTCAAGAGCTCTAGAGTTGCCAAATGGCCAGAAGAAAAATGTTCTGTTCCTTTAGTAACCCCTTGATGGGGTGTTATTTACCAGATAGTATGCCATGAAAAGCTTCTCAACTGCACATTTCCACGCTTCAGGCCTCTAGTAAATGAACGGGACATTTTTTTTCTCCAGGCCAGTTGTCAACCCAAGGTAGTGAAAGGATATTTCTTGCCAGAGTTAGAGAGCCCTATTGTTTACATAGTCCCTGGAAGGTTGAACAGTGTTGTTTGGAAGGTAAAAGTCATTTGTTGCTTGCTAACCTTTTTAAAAATGTATATCATAATTGAAATCAAATCAACAAGTGAAGCTCTGTCTCATGCTTTGACTCCTGAAGATGTTTACAGCAAAAAAGGTGACCACAGTGATGGACACACAGTTGTTGGTGCCCCTACTGATGAAAATGTCTCTGGCAAGTAAAGATCTCAGGTTTATGTTATTCATATACCTATCTTTAGATGGAAGAAGGGGGAAATTTGGATCATACCGAGCACTCTGCTAGGGAGAGAATATATTTGTATTGGTCTGCTGAAGGCATTCCTTGTCTATGACATAGCTAAGAAATAACCAGCAACTATTCTTTGAACATCAAGGCTTCTTCCAATTACAGTGTATTTAATTGTTCCTACACAAAGAATGAGTGGAGTGATGTGCAGGTGTACACCCATAAGCAAAGCCAGTAAAAATGGGAAGCATCCTGCTGCATTTGCTAACAATACTGTAGAAACAATAATGTAGAAATTATGATGCTGGGGGTGTGGGACTGGTGGTCAGGCAAGAATGACCTACTAGGCATATTTATGCAAAATCATCATGCTTGTTGTGGTTTCATTTTTTTCTAGCCTATTGCCGTTCTTTGCTCCTGCTAAATAAAAAAATGGGGAGGGACAGTAATAAAAGGAAAGGTGCAAGATCAAGTTGCAACTATTATTCAATAGGTCATTCTGAACATGTTTCATCTGCCTTCAGCTGGGAAGTTCATTCGACGTTAGCCACTCATATATGGAGACAGAGATCCTCTCCATTCAGTGTATTAGAAGGAAATTAATTTGGTGTCTGTCTAACTGTGGAATAGATTCCCTGACGGAAGGCAACAGAAACACATTGGAAATAACCTATGAAATTGTCATTGCACCATATCAGCTATGCTTCTTACATTTTCCCCATTTGCTTGTCACCACAGCTGCTTCAGTGTGTTTGCAGTGTTGTGCAGTGCTGGCAGGTTCCACTAATGGTGAACAAATCAAATTCCCCAATGTCCATGTCATATGCTGTCAGCTCTTGGGCCTGGCCCAAGCAGCTGGGATATGCCTCTCACGTGGTACAAAATGTGCTCTGGTTTAATTTGTGATATTACAAGGAATCCTTGGTTGCTTCTGCCAAACAGTATGCTGCTTCCATAAAGATGTTGCCACATATTATGTGGGAGAGAATGATGATCGAAAAACATTGGTGTCAAATGAAGATAGCAAAGAACAGGGAAAGTAAGAAGGTTTTATGTTAACACAGGCACAGTTTTTAAGCTTTGCAGATTTCACATGCTATTAAATTAACATGCAAATTTCAAGTACGCAAAAGTTATCTTTTTATTGATTTTACAAAAGTCAACTAAATGTCAGCTGAGAATACTGGAAACCTGAATAATTGAATTTGTTATTTATAAACTTATAAGGGGATAAGAGAGGATTTAGTTGTTTTGCATTTGAATTTTTTCTTAGATTATGTGTTTTAAACTGTTCCATGCAGATGAACATAAGACAGTTTGCACTGATCTGTATCTTTTGTGTATATGAAATCACCATTCTTCTACCCCTTTCTAGGAAATAAATTAATTAATTTTTTAAATAATAATATGACCCCTCGCAACTTCTTGGATCACTTGTCAAGATGACCCTGTCAGTCTTCTGCCTCTAGAGGATGGTGTTTATTAAGTTGCTCTGGGAGCCTTTGTTCAAAGAGTTAACCTAAAGCATATTTTTCTAGTACATTCATCAAATTATGTCTGAATGTTGTGTATAGAAGGCTGCTACTTTTACCAATTTAAGAGTATTTCCTACAAAATATAGATCTCATAATGCTGTTTTTCTGTCTTCTCCACTGCTTGGCAGGCTTCCTGCAGCATTCCACTACGGCGGTTCCAAATACTGCAAAATTTCCATCTAATCCCACAGATGTTCCTGAAAGTTTTATTCCCACAGAAACAGCCAAGAGTGCTCCATCAGCTTCTATAGCTCAGACAACTATATCTTCAAAGTTGCTCATTTCACAGAGAACAGCTTTTAGAAAGCCAATTAGGAGTGGATTCCTTGATTATTTATTTGATGTCAGTACTGCAAACACCTATTCTGGTACCACCGGCAAAGGCTCTGTGGCCAGCTCCGTGCCCAACGTGTCATTTAGGAATAATGCAGTATCTCCTGGGAGGACCACAAAGACACCACTATCACAAGTGGAGAGATCTTACTCTCCCTTAGGGGCCAGCATAATACTGAGCAACAAAATGAACATAATCAATAGGACCTTAGTAGCAAACAAAGAACCAGAAGGAAAAAGTGATGGCAAGTTTCAGAGCCCATTTGGGAAACATAGAGACAACTTTGTACAGCCCATCTTTGAGACATTTGCTGTGCCTCCCAAAGGGTCCGGGACAGGTAAAAAATTAGATGCAATGGCAGTCCCACAATTACTAACTTGTGCAGATTCACCCTGTTTTCCTGGTGTTCCTTGTGAATCAGATGAAGAGGGGAGCTTCAGATGTGGTCGTTGCCCTTTTGGCTATTTTGGAGATGGTGTTGTATGTATAGGTATGGATACTTCAAATAATATGTGTGCAGTGAATAGTTGTGTGTATGCTTAAGTTTTGTGATGCAGTGCAGAAATGGGCCCTTTTCAGATGTGTGCACATTCCCAAAGAAGGTTAATGTAGTCCTATCACAGTAATCCTGAGTTAGCTGAGCAAACTACAAGGTAGCTCTAAGGTGCATCATTCTGTCTATGCTTCTAAGAAGCCTACAAGTCCCACTTTACCAACAGAGCTGAGAATAACAGCACAGACCTCCTTTGAGCTGTTGTGTAAGTTAAAGAAGGGATGGGGACTGGTACAAAAATCTTTCATCATTGTATGCCATAAGCAGCCACTTAGCACAGGTGTTATACAGGTGTAGCAAAACACTTTTCAGGCTGTATTTTGTGTACTTTGGAAAATAACTAAATTCCCAAGGATTAGTATTCTACCCAGAGTGTATCACTTCAGGACACTTGCTGCTCTATGCAAAAACTGTTATGAGTTATATTTGAATGAAGGCAAGCATTTATGGGAAGGAAGGAGACTGATAACACTAAATACAATTCTGTGAACAAGATCATAGAAACTATACAAATGGCCTCCCCAAAGGGCAATTCCCTGCTCAAAGCCTTTTGCCTCCCAGTTGCATCTTGTGCCTTTCCTAGTTATGATGAACATTCAGTGTTTCCCACATATTGTGGAGTAGCTAGAAACAAAATGGCTTTGATCTTTCATTGGTTCCCTAGACCAGTGATCTACAACTGGCGGTACATGTACCTCATCTGGGATGCAGAAGTAGCCTTGATGGGACACAGGGTTTTCATAGCAATTACTAAAAATTGTTCTCTCAAAGACACCTCAATTTCAAGTGTAATGTGTCATCTCTTGCTGTTCCTACCTGCCATGGATTATCCATCTACTACACTTGCTGTTAACCAAAAGGCTGAGAAGTGATGGTTATCCATCTGTGATCTTTTGGCAGTGCTCATAGTAACTCCTCCCCCATTCCATCTCCCCACTGGCAAATGTCTGTGATGTGCCACTTCCGGCCAACCCTACCTGCCAGGGATTATCCATTGTGCTTCTGCAATTGTTTATATCCTTAAAAATTAACTATAAATGATAAATATAATAACAGAATGTCTTTAAACATAAAAATATATTCTAGCACGGTGGGACTCATGTCCTTTGACAGAGTGGTTAGTGGGATGCAAGAGATAAAAGATTAAGAACCGCTGCCCTAGACAATAGTAGGTTATCTTGAACTTCACAAGGCTTTCAGACGCACAAACCGGTTAAATATGTCTGTGGGCCTGTTCAAAGGCAAGACTTTTAGCTGATTCTGTGCTGTGTATACTGAAACTGAATACACTGTAGTACATTTCAGCTTGTGAACCGATTTCATTTTCCCTTTACCCCCCACTCTTATAAAGCAATATGCAGGCATCCATGTGGTAAAAACATGAAATGTGTGGCACCCAATACCTGCCGATGCAAATCTGGATACTTGGGCCATGGTTGTCAGGTTGGTAAGTATAACCATCTGGAGAACCATGTTTAGCCAAAGTTTGTTAAGAAATGCACTAAAAATTGTTGAAATAACCCTTAAACATATGTCTAAATGTTTGTTTCATACAGCCCTTTGTCAACCAGAGTGTAAAAACCTTGGGAAATGTATCCAGCCTAATGTATGTGAATGTCTCCCAGGATTCAGTGGATCCATCTGTGATGAAGGTAACTGGACATCTTCTTTAACATTTACAGCTGACTCACAATGTGTATTGATTTCCTGAGAATATTGATCCCCAGAAACTGTCAGTGATTTTCCAAAGAGCACAAAAACAGTGTGAGAGGTATTTTTATTTATTTAAGAACATTTGTGTCTAGCCCTTCTACTGAATAAAATCATGCCTCAAGGCAATTAACAATATAAATCAAATAATTAAATTGTAAATAAAAGAAAGATGATGTCAGAAACACATACACAGAAGGTTAAGTGAGAGCCAGTGCAGTGGTTAAGAGTGTCACGCTGGAATCTGCGAGACTCGTGGTTCAGATCTCCACTCTGCCATGGATGCTTGCTGAGTGTTCTTGGGCCACACACTCTCAACTTAAACCTACCTCTCAGAGTTGTTGTGGAGGTAAAATGAAGAAGAGGAGAAACACAAACAGTGAAATACAGTGCAAGAAGCAGACAGTATAACCAGATGAGGCAAAGGAACAGAATTGTTAAGAGCTGTACACAACAAAACAGATTTTAGGAGCACGGTGAGCTTCCCGGCATTGGGGTCCCTTGAAATGTGGGCCACCTCTGAAAATGCCCTGCTCTGTATGCCAGCCAACCTACCTGTCCTCTCTCACTCTAGGTTCCCCAGAGCCACATGATGATTTCAAAGCTCCCATAAAGTTTGAATTAGATCTGGAGGTCTAAAGAGCTTTAGGCCCCAACAAAGGTCAGACTCCAGATGGTTAAGCTCTGGGATTGGGGGTGTGGGGAAGCAGGAGAGATACACCTGTCAGTTCATCTCGGCCAGAACCGAATATAGTCAAAACCAGGCAGGAGAAAGAGAAGAGACTACCCAAAGGAGTCTCAAAGTGGCTTACAATCCCTTTCCCTTCCCCTCCTCACAACAGACACCCTGTGAGGTAGGTGGGGCTGAGAGAGCTCTCTGGAGAATTGTCCTTGACAGAACAGCTCTAAAAGAATTTATCACTAACCCAAGGTCACACCAGCAGCTGCATGTGGAGGAGTGGGGAATCAAACACGGTTCACCCAGATTAGAGTCCGCGCTCTTAACCACTACACCAAACTGAGTTCAAGTTCCAAAGTAGGAAGTAAGAACTTCCCACTTTCATTCTGAGCAGAGTTACCCCTTCTAAGTCTGTTGAAGTCTTTCACTCTGCCTAGTATAGCACTGTAAGTCAGACAAAGTCTCACCCACAAAACAAGATGCATCAGGCTGAGGGTTATAAGGGTCCCCCAACCCTTGGCAGAATTTTAGGACATTTAATGGGCAGCAGCAAGAGGAAAGAAGCAGGAAATTTCCATTTTGCACTCTTCAGTCTGCTTATGGGTTGTAGGATATTCATATTTTCTGAGTACAGTGTTCATAGATTTCTTTCCCATTCCTCAGTGCATGCCTAATTTGGAATAGCACTTGAGGCCTCAGATCTGCCTTTGAGCCCTTTTACTGTGAAATTCCTTAAATGTAATCAGAATCTTTGAACTGCATTATGATTTTCAGTTCCATTGGCTCCACTGAAAAACCATGGAGTGAGTTGTTGATACTGTCACTGTTGATGTTATTAGAGCTGCACCCATTTATGTCTATAACTCTGATCATACTAAAATATTAAATGGAATTTGGTTTTCTGTGCTTCCAATATTCCAAGAAGCAGCTGCCATAGTTTCTTTTAAAAGTTGACCGTTTCAGATTCTTCACATTGAACAGAGTCCCATATTTGTCTTTTGTTAGAAAAAAAAGTTTGACTTTAATGGATGTTTTGAAGCTGATTTCTTGAACAGCCTAATTTTGCATCTGCAGCCCATTGTGACCCACCTTGCCAACATGGAGGGACGTGTCTAACTAAAAACCTTTGCACTTGCCCATATGGTTTTGTAGGTCCAAGATGCGAAACAAGTAAGTGAATAAAAATGCGAGAATTGGGGACCAAAGTTAGTTAGTACTGTGATATACACAACACTTCTCGAGGAATCTGCAGCAAATATCAGACTAGCAATTAGACAATATATCTTTCTGTTGCTTGATTGAGCGCCTCCTACAGTCAGGCAAAGTAAGTATAGCTGGCTGTATCATTTTGGTCAGTTAGGCTGATATTAGATACTTCAAATATATCCAAGAATTTGAAGCTTACTAAAAAAATAGCTGTTAGGGTAGAATAGAAGTCCGTTTCCTTTCTCTTAAGTACTTGCCTTTAGAATCCTTTTTTAATTTCTAGTGAATATTTCAATATTTATTACTCTTTATTATTTTAATATAAAGTCATTGGAGAAGAAGTGATGTCATAAAAAAGAGTAGCTCACAATGCTTCTCAGGCTACCCAAGCCCAACTTCTGCAGGTGGCAAGAGAACAGCATCAGCAGTATATTCCTTTATTGGGTTATGTCTTCACCACTGATAATTTCAGTTTATTCTTGGTTCATGTTACTGGTTGCATTATTTATTTTGAGTATAATCTGTTTTGGTTTACGTTACTGGGATGTAGGTGTATAGTGTATTCGCAATTATTACTATTTTTACCATGATTCATCTTGAATTTATTATTTTGGGGGAAGCAGGAATTAAATGAATATATAACTGTCTCCATTAAAAGTTAATAACACAGGTGTTAAGTACTTGTAAAAAATAATCACTGTCTTAGGTATACTGCAGTAGTTCTACCTATTGCCAGTATCTTGTGCTTTACTGTATATAGTCCTGACAGGAATTCACAAACACAACCATGTTGTGTGTGTCTATTCTAAAAACCCAATATGTATCTAAAGCCTTATCAGCAGTACACTGAAATTAATTTTTCCTGTCAGATATATTATCCTGACTTTCCACGCAACTTAGAGGGGGAAGAAGAAATTTTGGAATCTTCCAGTCTGGAAGGGAATGTTGCTAAGTTGCATGTGATAGTAATCTTTGTCATGATGTGGTCTATTTTTGTCCCCTTTTAAAAACTTACTGTTCTTTGAATATTCTAGGAGCACTGGGGGATTGCATTTTCTAGCCTGTTTTCAAGATTGTCATTACTGATCTTCTGTGCAGTCCCACATGGGGACTGCACATGAGCAGGCCTGCCATCAGATAAATCTTATCGCTAAAAAGCCTCCAGGGGGCGCTGTGCACTGGAGCTAGAAGCTTGTTCCCGCCCATGGACGATGTGCTGCTGTGCAGCAGCACCCTCATCCTCAGTTCTTCTTTTGCCACCAAAGGAGAAGGTGGAGTTTTCTGGAGTCTCCAGCTACGGTCGTGTTGGAGAGGAATTGCTCCAGATTTGATGGAGTGACGGCAGCTTCTGAGTTCTTTCCATGGCTCAGAAGGCCCTTTTCAAGAAATGCTCCCACTGTGGGGTGAAGATGACCCAAAACAATGAACATGTCCTCTTTCTGTTCTGTTTGGATGAAGGGCACAGAGTCTGCCCATGTAAGGTCTACCAATGCTTCACCCCCTAAAAACCTATCTGATGGCAGGCCTGCTCATACACAGTCCCCATGTGTTCCTGCAGAGAAGATACTCAATGAACAATAGTTACAGATAAGTACAACTTTGTTTTTCATTGCACTGAAGTGTTGTTTATCTTGTATACCAGCCCTATATCAACATCTTGGTTGTTTTCAGACATCATAAACAAACTGGAGTTTGTGATGAGCATGAATCTGATTTATTGTTGTTACTTTATTCTACCGCTACCACTTCCTTTGTGCAAAGAGTGTGAGTGAACACTTCCTACTCTTGAAGCCTTTGACAAAACTCAGATTCGTTGTAATGTTCAAGTGGAAGTTTCAATTAGAATCCCACCCGCCCCCTCCCCGTAAATGGAATTTTTAACTAGGAGTAAATTGGAAGAGGCCAGCAGAACTGAGCATGTAAATCCGACAGTATTCGTGCTTATAATGAACAAATCCAGGTAGTTTGTAATGTGTGAATTCAGTCTTTACAATGCAGTTCTCATTACAAAAATCTGTGGGGCAAAAAGCTGAGGAAATTATTTGTATGCATTACAACTATAAAATAGTCTCTTATATACTAGCTCCTTTTTTAAACATTTTGCTTGATACAGTGGTATGCAACAGGCACTGTGAAAATGGCGGTGAATGTCTTACTCCAGACGTCTGCCAGTGCAGAGTTGGCTGGTATGGACCCACATGTAGTACAGGTAAAAACCACCCTCCAGAGGGAATTGCCTTGCAGTAAAACTACACATATATGGTCACGAAAAGAAGCATAAACAAATTAAAAATTAAATCTCCAGTAATAATATTATAGTGCAAGACTCCAAAGAACCAGAGTTCTTACTTAAAATAGTGAGGAATTGGGGGGGGGGGGGTTGATTCCCATAGGAACTTTGCTAGTAAGGCTTTGTTTTGCATTTTTTTTGTGAAATATAAGCCACTAGAATTATTGATACAAGAGCTGCCTCTCAAGCCCTGGTCTCTGTGCTCCCTCCTTCAGAGGTGAGGTGGGTGGCGATTAAATACAAGACATTTTCTGTGGTAGCTCCTTGCCTTTGGAATGCCCTCCCACTTGAGGCTTGCCTGGTACCTACTTTATTGTAGGCACCAGGCCAAAACACATCTTTTTACCCAGGCATTTAATTAGGGGTTTATCATCTTTTTAATGGTCTGCTGTTTTATGGATAGTTTTTTAAGCTGCTTATATGTATTTGTCTTATGTTTTTCAGTGGCGACATAGAAATATAAACAAATAATCTGTGATATGCCTGTATAATTATGATACAGGTATTCATGGGCTCAGTCAGTTAGGGCCTGCTTTAGCTCTAGTTTGATATCCTCTTGTGCCTTCAAGTTTGATTTTATTTTTTTTACCTCTCACCCACAAGGTGAGGAGTGTCACCTGACCAGGTTTAACCAGCCTTACCAGGATTGTTCCTAGTTCTTGTTTGCTTTGTTTACATTTTTTATGTTTTTGTCCTCCTGGAACATGATTATGTGTGTTTATATGTTTACTGTTTAAAACATTTCAGGCCACCTTCTAACCCAAGGTCCGTGAGACAACTTAAAACATCAGTTAAAATAAAAGCAAAACAGCAAAAGGAAACCTTAGCAAAAACATCCAGTACAATTATTATATTATCGTATATTATCATTGTACATTAATGCCTGAGCGAATAGCCAAGTTTTTTACTCGGCTCTTTAAAACAATTAAGGTAAGACACGAAGAGGCAGTTCCATAAACAAGATGCCATCACTGAGAAGGCCCTGTCACCAACAGCCACTTTTCTTATTTTCGTAAGTGGGGCGCCCAAATTCAGGCCTCCAGTGAAGATCCTTTAAAGTTGGCAGTTAATATTCAGCTAATAGAAAGGTGATTATAACTGTACCTGTATTTAAATATGCAATGTAGGCAAATAAGCATAGCCTTTGTGGGCGGGCAGGTAGTGGGAAGAAGTAGTACATGCGCTACCATACATACATAGATACATACATACCACTACATCCACTTTTTAAAAGTGCTGTTACCTCCATGCCTGAGAGGAGATGAATGGTGAGTCCCAATTTACTTCCCACAATTAGAAAATTTATTTATTAAAAGATGCCTGTACACACTTATACCCTGCTTTGATATATTTATTGCTTTTCTATGCTTTTCCCCTCTTAATTAAATCAAAATAACTATTGACGTTATAATCTTAGCTTGTTATTTAGGTTTGTCTTTGCATAACTTAGGGGGCCGCGGTGGCTCAGAGGTTAAGATGCTGAGCTGCAGACCAGAAGGTCTGTAGTTTGGCAGTTCAAGACCCTAGTTCGGCATGACGGAGTGAGCTCCGGTCTCTGGCCCCAGCTCCTGCCAACCTAGCAGTTTAAAAGCAAGAAATTGCAAGTAGATAAATAGGTACCACTTTGGTGGGAAGGTAACAGCGTTCCATGTGCCTTGTCGTTTAGTCATGCCAGCCACATGACCATGGAAACATCTTTGGATAGCGCTGGCTCTTCAGCTTGGAAACAGAGATGAGCACCACCCCCTAGAATGGGATTTGACTAGCTTTCGAGCATGGGAAATCTTTATCTTTACCTTTGCATAACTTAAAACATCTTCATCATGTTACATGTAAATTTGCTGTTCAGCCTATAATTTGAACTCTACCTTCCATTCCATTGTATTGGAAAACGTATGCATGCACATGAAAGCTCATACCTTGAATAAACCTTTGTTGGTCTTAAAGGTGCCACTGGATTCTAAATTTATTCAACCATACAACAGTTTGAAATAAACTGTATGCCAGTTCTCCTGTCATTTGCTCATTATACCTAAGTTACTTGAAAGAGTATGCATGGGAGCTTCCGTTTTTTGGCGTCTCAATGACAGACCCATTCCTGGAGAGCTCCCAGGGATGCGATCTGCATGCCAGTGTGATTGTACACACTCCCCCAGGACTCTTGCATTGGACCCCCAGCCATGGGGTGCTAAAGGGTTGCCTCTCCTCTGGCACATTGCTGGAGATTGAAGCTCCCTTCTGCCCCGACGGTCCTGCTGCTGTGCGTCCACTATGGATCTCGAGCCGCTGACCGGGACAAGCGCATGGAGGCCAAGTGAGCAACACGTACCTTTGGCGAGGTCTTCGGGCCGGCATGAATTGTGAGTCCATGAAAGCGAAAACACCAGGATAAAGGCAGAAAGCCTCCCCTCCCTGCAATAAAAGCGAGTGGGGGAGGGAACTTCCCAAATGCAAAGAAAAGACAGAGGCATCTCCAAAGGGGGGAGGCAGCCATAAAAGCAAAACGGAGCTGTTTTAAGAACTTCACAAGAGATTTACAAGCATCAGCGTGAACATTAGAGACTTTTGGCAAACTACTCTTAAAGATAAACATTCCCAAAGATGGTGGGCAAAAGAACTGAGAAGGATAAGCAAGCGAAACTTAAGCTTTCTTTAGGAAGTCTGAGTCCAGCTGGGCTGGTCAGCCGACCGGAAACTTCCACAAACATTTCAAAGATGTTAGCAGACTCTTTGCGGCCTCTGCTGGAACAAATGACAAACATAAACCAGCAACTGACAACTTTAAACCAGAACTTTGCAGCCCAGCAGCTCCAGCTAAGCGAAATTAACAAAAAAACTGAGCAGACAGCCGAGACGGTGAAGGAGGTGGATGCCAAGACTAAAGAGGTTAAAAAATGTGTGCAGATGTTGGAAAAGAAGAGAACATCTGATGAAACACAGCTCTTGCAACTACAAATGGAAAAAGAAAGATTTGTCCTGAGATTTCAGGGGCACCCTGAAACTAAGGGGGAGAATCTGAAACAAATTCTGAGTGATGCCTTGGCCCCGATTGCAGATTTAAAAGCGGATTATATTCAAAATGAGATTGATGTGGTCTATGGATCATATTCAGAATATATAAAGAAGAAAAATCTGCCAGGGGAGATAGTGGTCAGATTCTCAAAAAGGCATGTGAGGGATCAAATCCTGAAACCAACATCAGGAACGTCCCTGAAAATCGAGGGCAAGAAAATAAGGGCTTTGAAAGATATTCCATTTGAAATTAGGAAGAAGAGAAAGAAATGTAAAGACTTGGCAAGGTTTTTGCAAACAAACAACATCCCCTACAGATGGTTGGTACCCGATGGCATCCTTTTAAAGATAAACGACAAGAAAGAAAGAATTGACATGGCTATTAAAGCTCGGGAGTTTCTGAAGCAGTAACTTGGTTCTACAGGAGAGGACGACAAAGAAGACAACGACAGTGACAAAGGAAGCGACAGTGACTCTGATGCTACAACTTCTGAAGAAGATTCCGATTCGCAACGTGAGGCAGCTGCCCCCAAACAAGACTATCAATTGAGGAATAGAAGGGGGGGAAATTAGATGCTGAATGACTCTGAAGTTAGCCTTAAGTGGATTATTATTAGCGGTTCTTTTGTGGTATTTCTTGAACAGCTATTTTAACTGGTTTTGATAACATAAGCATGCATATATTGATCACACTCAATGTAACTAATAATCTCTGTAATAATTTAGCACATTTTTATATGCTTTGTAATGGCCACCACCTCTTGGGTTTTTAGAGGTTTTTCTTTCCTTTCACCTGTAGTTTGTAGATACCCTCCCTTATTTCTTTGTAGTTTATAGAAAATGCAATAAAAATATCCCTTCAGGGGTTGAAAACAAAAAGAAAGAAAGAAAGAGTATGCATGCAAGAAAAGTGAAATACTTTTATTTAGTTACATGCCAGCCTGAGCCAGCCTCGGCTGGGAGGGTGAGGTAGAAATCCAATAAATAAATAAAATAAATAAATAATGCATGCATCTACAATTAAGAGTTTTTTAAAAATTATTTTTACCTTTCCCTTCCTTGTCTTCTATAGCGGTGTGTGACCCAGTATGCCTCAATGGTGGATCGTGCATTAAACCAAATACTTGTCTTTGTCCCAAAGGATTTTTTGGTGCCTATTGTCAAAATGGTAATTTTTTTTTCATTTTGAGAAAGAAAATGTTGTATCCATGTGTGCTCTTTGACTGTCATAACAGCCTTTATGCCAATGAAAAGGTACTTCCTTTAGCAGAGGAGAAAGGGCTGTTTTTTGCTGTTTGCCCCTTTCCACTGCAGATATCCACTTTGCCCCACGCATGAAGATCCCCTAAACTCTGGGAACAGAAAGTCAGGGTCCTCAGTGGGCTGTAGTGGGAGGTGGGGAAGTCCTATTCCCTGAACTTTGCTTGTGGTTCTTCTGACACAATCCAAGGAAAGTAACTGAATACATGTTTCCCCCCTTCTAATTTCACGGAAATAGAATGGATAGAATAATGCATAGTATGGTTTGGGTTCCTTTGGATGAGGGAGTCTTTGTACTATTTTCTTTATTTACAAATATAAAAATAAAACAGAGGTGAAGAGGC